AAGTGAAAGAAAAAATTAATCACATTTTTTTATCGAGAGCATAAAAACTATCCATATATTACAGAACCTAATGGTGTATATATCTATACTTAGGTTCATATATAATGGTGTATATATCTATTCCTAGGTTCCTATATTATGGTGTATATATCTATACCTACGTACCTATATAATGGTGTATATATCGATACCTAGGTACCTATATAATAGTGTATATATCTATACCTAGGTAACTATATAACGGTGTATATATCTACCCCTAGGTACCTATATAATGGTGTATATATCTATACCTAGGTAACACAGCCTCTTGGAGTCCTTGTAGAAGTACCAGGTACCATCTTTGTCTGCTGATGACAATGCTGATGGGGATTCCTCCCTTTCTGTTTCTCCATTGTAGAAGAACTTGTCTGGCCTTGTCTCCATGTTGTGGCATAGGATTAGGTAGTTTATATCATCAGCTGGACCCTGAAAGTTTATAAAGGCAGGGGGTGTAAATGTAAAATACATTCATTAAACAATGCGGCAAGACATTTCAGAAAAAATCCCGGATTTTGAAAGCAGTGGGCCATTTCAGCAATTTTCAGTCAATATCAAAATTAAGAGGGCCATTCTATGTAAAATTGAAAGAAAATTGGAACATTGAGGGGTCAATTTCAGTTTTGTCCTCAAATACAGATCCACGGTTGTTTAACTGAAATTTTACTTCAACTGCTGTGAATTCATTATGAAGTGAATACAGGTTTTCTAAACAAAAATCATCAATATTTACAAATTCAGCAGCCTTTTCACATTGATATGCTGTGAAATCCTCAAAGATTGTCACCATAGGAGCCCCTTCACGATTAATTTTCTCATATGCATAGTTCTCCTGGAAAACCCACAATCCGTACAATCCCATAGAGTGGGCAGTATTTGCGTAGAATTTCTTTAACGGGGTATTAGGAGGTACAGTCAGGCTACGTGATGACCCCTCTGTTTGTTTACCAAAACGGTACCAGAATCCTGAGTGGGTTCCCCCTGCTGTGATGTTGTTTTGTATCGTATTATTTGGATTGAGGGGTCAATGGCCCCGTGGCCCCCTCCAGGATTATTCATGCATTTTCAGGTTTGGACAACAGTGTGACACTGTGTTTATATTGGCTTAAGGGTAAGAGCATTTTTTTACACACATATCTATATACACTGTATAATGTCCTTTTTAATCAATACAAATTTTCGGAGACATTGTCAATGTTAACTCACATGTTGTTTGCTTATTACTGATGTACTAATGTCATGTATAAATGTCATGTATAAATGTCATGCATAAATGAAATGCCTAAACACAGAACAACATGCCAAACATTTAATAATACAGTAAAAATGAATGTCAGTTTTTCTATAAGCAAGAATCTTAAGGAACAATTGAAATCTATAACATGTCAACATATTATTTAAATCTTTTAAATATCCACCCTATGGTATCACATCTATATGTATGCTCCTAAAATATATCACCTGCTTGAAAAGGGCCACTGCAAAACTGCATGAACTCCTTTAAATAGAGTGATACTGACATACCTAATTAAGGTAAGGATGGTGTACATGACCATTCTGGGATCCCCACCCAAAAGATAAGCAGTGCCAGTGTCACTAAATTTCTAACTAAACAAGTGATGAGGAAGGAAAGGTACTTTGATACTTTATCCCTCATATCTGGCAAAAAGAAATGGTTAATAGTTATTCACCAATGGAAGTCAAATAGCTGATGATATCGTGACGTATCCCTCCTTCTTTCAGAACATTCTGACAAACTGTTTAAAACATTCCTCATGAAAATCACATTGTTCTGTGAATAATGTGAGAACAAGAATTCCACAGGAGTGGATGTGTCGCTGCATGCGCAGGCAACTCTAATGAGATAATGAAGACGGGATCTATTTATACTGTCAGTAACTTCAGTCAACCAAAGGGAGGTCAAGTTATTGCACGGAAACCTCGTTTTGGACGACACAACCAATATGGACGCAGTAATACCTATATGTCGCCTTGGATTGCAGGCGACACAAAAATCAAGACAGTCTTTTTCAAATCCGTCAAGTACAACAAAAGTTATCGCACGGAAACAGTTTTTCTATTTGTAGTGGTGGTGACCTTGACCTTTGACCTTCAGACCTGAGGAGTAATCCTAAGCAAGCACTATTGGTAAGGAAGCACTGTATAATGTACCTAAAGAAACTGAAGTTATCGCACGGAAACAGATTCTCTATTTATAGTAACGATGACCCTGACCTTCACCTTCTGACCTGAAAAGCAATCCCAAGCAAGCAGTTTTAGCAAGGAAGCACTGCATGAAGTTTGAGTTTAATCAACCCAAGGGAACTCAAGTTATCGCACGGAAACCTGGTTTCGGATGACACAACCGACGACGACGCCAACAAAGTAATACCTAGATGTCACCTCGCGTTCAGTCGACACAAAAATGACCACGAACCTGATTGAAGTCATAAACCATTCCAGAATAACTCAGGTGATCTGCAGGCTCCGTGTCCTCAAACTCCAAAAGAACTTCAGCCGAACTTTCCAGTAGTATCATGGCCCAACTTGGTTTGTGTGTGGTGTGTTTAGTAGCATAGGCACTGACAGAAGATCCTCCCAGGTAGGTTGCGACAAGGCGTTTCCCCTGATTGGTAGTGTGGTTCATACCCTCCACTACAAGCCTATGAAATCTTGTTTCTGCTGGACAGAGGCAGACCTCTATATCACCGTAGTTGAACTGGTCCTCCGTAGGAAATTCTTTGGAGCAGACACTGAAACAATGTTTGAATATACATATGAGCTTGATGTATTGTAGTAAGACGAGGAACAGTTATAAAGATAGTGTCGTTGCTGGGGCTCGAACCCTCGACCCTTGGCTCTCCAGCCTGATAATCTACCACTGAGCTTAAAGGGAAATTCCCTACAGTTGACGCTTGTAAGGCAACTTAATCAATCCACATCTTTTACACTATTCCCCCCTTTTTTTCAAACACCAACCCAGGTTCTTTGACTCCCCACCAAGGGTTCTCCTACACAATCATTTTGGCATTTCTTCATTACTAAAATGTTGACCAAGGGCTGTATACTCATTGTTATAACCCAAACCCTTAGCTTCGGACTAAAAACGGCACTTGATCACTACAACACGTTCTAACCTGAATCCTTACCTGAGGAACGGTGGACTACAAACGACGACCTTGGCAGCTCCATCGCTATCAGTAAGTGTTCCGTCGTCTTCAATGACACCTGTATGTTCCCATGGAAACAGGACCCGCTGCACTGTGTTTATGAAATCGACCTGCATCACCTTATAATTATAACTACCACAGTTAGTGCTGCAGTTATCAAAACTTTTTGAAAAAGTGATCGCGCTGGACCCTAAAGTGTGGTAGTTAACAAACGTAACTCCGTTCACCTTGCCACCTTTCCCGTGTGGAAAGACAACTCCATAGGTTGTTACGGCAGCAGAGCCATCTCCCGCGTCCCACTTTGGATGTAAAGGAAGCGTAGGATCGTAAGCTACATATACCCCTCCTTTGATACAGGTTTTGTCCTCAAATACAGATCCACGGTTGTTTAACTGAAATTTTACTTCAACTGCAGTGAATTCATTATGAAGTGAATAAAGGTTTTCTAAACAAAAATCATCAATATTAACAAATTCAGCAGCCTTTTCACATTGATATGCTGTGAAATCCTCAAAGATTGTCACCATAGGAGCCCCTTCACGATTAATTTTCTCATATGCATAGTTCTCCTCCTGGAAAACCCACAACCCGTACAATCCCATAGAGTGGGCAGTATTTGCGTAGAATTTCTTTAACGGGGTATTAGGAGGTACAGTCAGGCTACGTGATGACCCCTCTGTTTGTTTACCAAAACGGTACGAGAATCCTGAGTGAGTTCCCCCTGCTGCGATGTTGTTCTGTATCGTATTTTTTGGATTCGTGATCCAAAACGCAGCTGGAGCAATGTCATCAGTTTGCAGACTAGCTGAAGCCTTGGTAAACACTACCAGATTATTTTGTATTGTATTTCCAGTCTCTATGCCGTCCTCAAGGAAGATCGCCCCGCCCATTACGTTATACACAACATTGTTTTCCACTAATAAGTTGTTGGTAGCATGGATGTTTAAAGCCCGATTAAAGGTATCGTGAATTGCCGTGCCTCTGACGTATGACTTGGACATGTCCCCGTTTAGATGGAAGTGGATTGGATGTCGTCCGTGATGGAACGCCTGTCCAGCGTTTGTGATCTCAGTGTTGCTAATCTGAATAATCACGTGATCTTTGTCAGGCTCTGGAGCATGGACCAAAATCTGTGCTCCGAATTGATCAGAAGAAATCTCAGCTCCAAATCTTCTACTGAAACAGGTCTGGGATTCAAACTCCACTATAGAAAAAGATAATAGTTCTTTATGTCATAATTGTAAAACATCTGTCATAGAGAATAATTCATGTCATACATAACATAAAAACATTTATGTCCCAAAATAATCGTTCATTTTATCAAATGATCTATATAATATAATCATTTATTTAAAAAAAGATAATTTGTCTCAAATAAAATCGTTGATATGATATAATCATTTATGACACATGAAATCAATTTTTCATATAAAACCATTTGTCATATGAAATCATTTGAGACAAAAAGTTGATAACGAACAGATTTTTGTGAAGAAATTTTGACTCCTAAACCATTTTTGTAGTGTAGAAATTCTGATCCTAAAACATTTTGTGGTGTTAAGATTTTTGGGGTATGTGATGATGCTGAAATGTGAATCAGAATGAAAAGATATGTACTTCATTGTGTGTATAATCTTACCTGTATCTGACCCCTTCTCACATTCCTCCACTTTTTCTGTTAATCGGTCGTTGTTACTACCTATGACCTTGACATTATGACTCAACAGGCCGACTTCTGCTCGAACCTCAAAGTCGTGACCTCCGTGTGTTAACGTCTCTCCCAAGTGTTCATGCTCCAGTGGCTGGGTCAAGGTCAGAGTTCGCCCATCCTCAGAAACCTCTTGAATTTTTCTAGGAAGATTTAATAAAAAATGAAGCTTCTTGCAAAAGTAATAACAGTTTACTGAAGGTAACTAATGTCCGTATTTGTGAGAGACATACTTAAGTTGAGCAGGAGTTAGTTTACCTTTGCTCAGTTTGAAAAACGTTATGCAGCTAATATACTGTGTTGTCACAGTTACTTATAATGAGATCTATAGATGTCATGGTTTCTCCTTGCAACAGTTAGGGTAATATGAGGACAGGTGCCTGGGGAGACATCCCCAAAGAGAAAAAGTAGATAAGGAAGAAAGTTAACAGGAAAATATAATGCAGCTAAGATTCAGAGTTGTCACAGATAATTATAATGAGATCTATAGATGTCATGGTTTCTCCCTGCAACAGCTAGGGTAATATGAGGACAGGTGCCTGGGGAGACATCCCCAAAGAGAAAAAGTAGATAAGGAAGAAAGTTAACAGGAAAATATAATGCAGCTTACATTCAGAGTTGTCACTGTCTGAAACCGAAAGTAGATGGAAAAGAAAGAATACAGGAAAGAAAGGAAAAAAAAGATCCCAAGTGTTGCAATGGGGGCACCATATCAATTTTGTTCTCTTCCATGTCCCCTTCATAGAAGACAGAAGAGTAGACAGACAGAAGAGTAGACAGGAAAAGTTGTCATGGTATGTGTACACAGGAATGGCATGTCTGTACAGTATAAATGTTGCTATACTGCCACCATTGCTCGGAGTAATTTTGGCATTATAAAGGAGTTTGTCAACAACTCTACCGGTAGATGGGTCCATTGTTGGCCCTACAACACAAATTTCAGTCGTATTTCTGACATGTCAAGTAATGACCGAATATTCTGCCATATGAATTTCGGTACAGTAAAACTTCTTGATACTGTCATTATTTGTCCACATAATGTTTGGCATTGTAAAGGAATTTGACAACAATTCTATATGAGTACCCTGTATAGGTTCCACATCACAGTTGTATATATCTAACATGTCAAGTAATGATTAAATATACTGCAAATAAATTGAGGTACAGTAAAACTGCCATCATTTACTTATAATATTTTCGCATCATAAAGGGGTTGGCAATAAATTATGGGAATGTAGAAATTCTTACAAAAATAGTTACCTTGAAATAAGTCGGCAGTAAGTGGAACAAGAAGAATTATATTAAGGTTTGATATATTTTGTATGTTCCCCTCCCTATAACATCTCCAGATTTAGCTCACCTGGTTTCTGTCTGACCCTGGGAGGCTTTGTTGCCAGTGGTTGCTATGACGATCAGGTCACCTAATCTCCAGTTGACAGGATCATTGAGGACAATATCTGTGGCCCCCTCTACTGCTGTTGCTGCTAGTTTTGTCCAAGACGATCTAGGTATACCTGTGTGTACATTTAAATTTTAAGAACAGTTTTCATTGGCTGATGTGTCATCTCATATCAATGGTAAGGATAATGTTAATTTCTATGTAACGGACCATCTGATTGGTTAGCACAATGACACTGCCTATTTAACAGACCATAGAAATGCCGAAATAAGGATTGTTGAGAGGTTTTGCAACCACAATTCATAGTACATGCATGTACATCACATAATATTTTATTCCATCTTATTTACAATTGGGTCCAGTGTGAATTAAATGCCTCCCAGTGGTGCAATCTTTAAGCAACTAATCAATGCAAGCACTTATATTAATGGTTGGCAAACTTGCCTGTTTTTTTTCTTGGGGTAAAATAAAGAGTTTATCACATGCCTGTGTGCAGGAAAGGGAAATTCCTTCCCCTGGAGTTTTCCAAGTATGTATGTCCCAATGAGTTTCAATATTGGGGAAAATCTGAGGCTTTGCCAATTGAATGGTTTCCCCACTTTAGAAAGCCCTAGGGTGAAATTTCTCTATCCTACACACACAAATGGAACAGTTTATTCTCTCATCTTAATCACAAGGATTAGCTCAGAAACCAAACTATGGGGTTTTATATGTTTTTTTTCTATGTTTAATGACTAAATTCACTTTGAAAACAAAAAAAATGGTTACCATGGAGATTCAGCGTTCCCTCTCTCACAGCTAGGACCTTGGAGCCATATATGGGTAACAGTTCCTGGGCGAGGTAATGGCCGTGTAACAGGATTGTAACGTCACTTATATAGGGCTTCTCCTCTGTACCGACCTGTTGTCAATAGAAGAATGTAAACACATGCAGGTTATTCTGTCGACAAATCTCGCACTCACCAGGTTCAATACAAAAGCTCGTTTTCAGATCGAGTACATGACACAATTTCCTTTACATACAATCTAATATACCACGGCTCTAAGATCAATGAGAAATTTAAAGAAGGTATCAAGGGGGAAAATTGGAGATTTGTCATTAAAATAGCTACCCTCTGTAAAAAATAAACAATAATTCTTATCGTTAAAGATTTACAACCTAGGAATAAGACTAACATAACTGTTTTCACCACATTACTACATACTAAATAACTGGAATGGATAACTCATTTAAACGTCAAATTCTGCTGAATTTTGTTAAACTATACTTCAGGATTCAGCCTTTCCAAACATTGTCAAACATTTTCAAGCAAGTCCAGAAAATTGAAAGAAATATCAAGGAAACGTGTTTCTACTGGGTCCCTTGAAAGATGGGTTGTTTGGTGGGTCACTGTGAAAGATTAAATTATGTACAGATTAAAATTGCAGCTAGTGGAACAGAACCTTTTCTACTTGGTTTAGAGATATTCAACCAGTGTGATCCTTCTCAAATTTAAATGTAGTAGCTATACAATTCATTCTGAAATATATATAGCCAACAAAATGAATCTGGTACAACATGTGATTAAATTTTCGCAGTTCCATTTGGCTCACTGGCCAGGCATTGGGGGGTAATGGTCCTCAGACTGGGTTTAGAACTTTCCTGTACGGCAAAAACATATCATGTTCAATCGGAGATTTTTCTGACCAGACAATACCTGCAGTTTCCCCTGGTTGGTGATGAGAATGTTGTGTGCCTGAAGAAGAATGTTGCTCTTGGTTTCATCAAAGATCACTGTGCCACCTATAAGATACAACCAATCAAAACAACTGTTATAATCTATAAACAACCAATCAAAACAACTGTTATAATCTAATATTCTATACACCAGCCAATCAAAAGTAATGTTAGGTTTTCTTTACAATCAATCAGAGTTGCTGTTATGTTCTTTAATATTAACCAATCAAATTAAAGCTTCTGTAAAACATTTTTATATCCTATCCCAAATGCTATTTATTTTCTTGATTATCATTTAATAGAAAAGTGAATAGACAGCAGATAACTCCTCCCCCCCCCCCCTAAAAATAAATAAAAAATGAAACAAAAACTAAAGCAGTCATAATCTAAAGATTACCATCAATTAAAAGCATGGTGAGGACAGGTACTTCCACAACATCAATCATCAGTGTCATTTCCATTGAGACCACAACAATGTCGCCCGCTACAGGAGGTGGAGACCCTCCCCAGGTGAACTCGGAGGAATATTTGTCAACAAACTGGAATTCTAGGGCATCCTGAAAGAGAACATTTCAATATGTTTTGGAAACATCCTTATCAACACAGTGAAACACACTTAAAGATGCATCCTTATACTGGGACATGAATCTCCTTAATAAAAGATTTCCACACCAAATTAGTCAAATATCTAAAAAAAAAAATACAAAAAGTTTTTTCGCATTTCTTTGATTAACTGGCGACAAAACAATATTTGCAAAGGATGATGAAATGCAGATAAAGCATAAAGAAGCAGCTATTTTCAGGGAGTAAGTTTTTGGTCCTTAAATTACAATTAGGACGACATCAAGGTACAATGTAACTTGAATTGTAAGCCACAGACAAAGTATTTAATGTCACAGCCAATCAGAGGCCATTGCAGCCATCTTGAATCCAAAATCATAAACATGTATCACTGCCACAAATTCATCAACTAAGTTGGACCGAAATAACTTAAATCATAACTGTCATTGCTTTAGCGAATCTCAGCTTATATAGTAGCCATCTTGAATCCGAAACTAAAAGTTATCCTTTTGACGTTAAGTAAATCTCTGTATCAGGAAAGGAAAATATAGTGTGCTTCTACCAATGGATCAAACCTGCGATCCCAGACTTCCTAGTCAGAAGCTCTACCACTGAGCTAAAGGGAAATCCCCCCTAGCGTGAAGCTAAAAGACGACTGTAATCCTATGTACAATTAAACCCTGCCACACTACTCCCCCTTTTAAATGTTTTCACCCTTGAATCCAGGTTCTAACTCCCTGTCACCACAGGGAGAGCCACAGACACCATTTTAACAGGAAAAATTTGGGATCAAACCCACAATCCCAAACTTACTAGCTGGACACTCTAGCTACCATTGAGCTAATTTATAAAGGGAAATTCCCTGTAGTGTGAAGCTAGAAGGCGACTGTAATCCTATGTATAATTATTATCTGCAACAATCTCTAATGTATTACTCCCAGAAAGTTTCATTTTCATTTACAGGCATATGGATGAGATGATTTTGGTATATCATCTTAACTTTGCTGCAGGTTGTATAATAATGTCTTAATCTGGAACATGAGATCAACTTGCTTCATCCAATGTTGAAGCATTAATTATTGATGCTGAGTCAGCAGAAAATATAGATATTTATCACATAATCGGCCTGTTATCCAGTGAATTCGCCCGTGTAATATTTATACATATGTCACTATATAAAAGTGTAATATATTAAACCTGGAGCGTTTTTCATTGGCTGTGCCAGTCAGAAATCAATTGTGACATCATAATATGGACAATGACGTGACGTAATACGTCATAAATTGTGAATGGCGCAACAAAATGGCTGTCTCCATTGGATGAAGCCCTCTACATTTTGGCTTTAAAACCTGTCAAAATGTAAGTTTACTGAGTTATGTGATAAAAAGAATCTTAAATTTGTTTTCATTTCATATGAGCTTTTATGAAACTCGTCTTGAAGTTTGAATTTTTGCTTGCCAAGGCTCGCAAAAATAATACCTCCTGTTAAGACTCGTTTCATTAAATCTCATATGTAATGAAAACTCACTTGATTTATTTAACATGCTATATGTAAACTTACATCCTGTGAATCAGGGGACAGCTGTGTAGGTTTACTGTGGATTGACATAGAGGCTGTTCCTGTTCTTGCCCCACCAGACGAACTTGTGACACAAACCACAGACGTGTCTTCAATCGGAGACTGGACAACACACGCAACTCCAGCAATTTCAACTTTTACCTTGTCTGCATCGCCACTGGCAACACAAAAATAACATTAATGTCAAAGTCATGTATACAGATGTCAAAACAGTAACTAAATTATAATGTACATTAAAAATATCTAAAAGAAACAAAAAACATTTTTTACAACAAACATATTTTTTCTATTCCTTGTATGATCTGAACTTTGAACTTGCAGAGTTATTTTCAACCCTTCACTTGAACCCCATAATGTCTGAACTGCCCTTGGAAAGGAAAATGTCATGGAGAAATGGTGAGACACGTAATATAACAGGGACCACATGACACCGGCTAAAAGAAAAGTAATAAGTGTACCGCAGGGCAGAAATATAATACGCCCCTCCCATGCAAATCTCCTTGCGGAAACCAAGTTAAGAAATTGACCAATCAGAGCACAATAAGCTAATAAATTAAGCACAGATTTTGCTCATGTTCAAACTCATTCTCAGACTTCATATAATGTACATGTATAGTTCATCTAAATTGAATGATATATAAGTAAGTTATCTAGCAGAAACCAAAGTATAGATGGACAGATGATAGACGGACGGACACTCTCCATACCATTATATGCATCTCATCAAATTACTTTTGTTGGGCAAAAGAAACAGAGGAAATAGTGTCTGATGTTGATAGTAAAAATCATATCTCTGTCATCAGATTGGCTGTTTGTGATAACAAGGAGATAAACACAATCATGTAATAAACTACAATGTTTTTAATGATTTTATGATTATATTATATTTTTATACACAGTTTATGTAATATTTTTATTCCGTCTTTGAATATTGCAGAGTTATCTTCTCTTGTGAGCAGGTATTGATTGTTACATCATTTGTTTGTGAGTGTAACGTCACCAATTTTTGAGAAAACAACGTAATTTTCTCACACAAACCAATTACCTAACGATCAATACCTGCTCACAAGAGAAGATTACTCTGCAATACGCAAAGCAGAATAATAGATAATACAACACTTTTCTTTTGTACATTATATAATATATTTATTCACTGCAGAGACAACTTAGAGAAAGATTTGATAATCTGCTTAAGTCCTGCATAATGTTTGGCACATAATTGTCATACTGATATTCTAGTTAACTTGCCAATCCCTTAATTAAAGAGATACTTAAACTTTAATTTGATTATCCAATGAAGACTCACCCGAAGTTTGAGCCGATGAAGGTGACACGGGTTCCCCCTACTGTGCCGCCAGTCTGTGGGGTGATACTTTCAATGACAGCTGGGTCAGACACAGAACCTTCATATTTGTAGCCGTTAGTAATGACTTGTTGCAAGGAACCCTGGGAAACTTCCACATCTACAGTTCCTGAAATATTTAATATAACGTGTCCACTTTTTTTTTATGGAAGAGCCTTTTAAGATCGTCCTGGAAATATATTGTGTCATTTGACTTACACAGTACAGACTTAATGTTATAGGCTGTTTTTTTCGAAACAGTTTCTTCAAAATATAAGTTTGCTTTTACATACGAACAATCCGTTTGATACACATATCTCAAAACGGTGATTGGCAACATTACTTGCGTCGTGATTACACCTCTCATTTTGCATCAAACCATCATATATAACATATATCTTATGAATGACATCTCTCAATACAACTTTTTGATCTCTAGGTAACTTAAAAATAACAACATCTTATACTTTCCTCTCTCATTACTTTGAGTAGGTGATATTATACATACAATCGCTATTGAAACCATGAAAAAAAGGTGTAATACAAGCACATGCTATCCAATCTTTTGAGTTATCTCCCATTGAACAATCAGCATGGAAAGTCTATGAGTGTCATAGTTTTGATGGAATTTTTTTTATTTCTTTCTTTCTGTTAAGTTGTTTGTGCAAACATGAAAACCACAAGGTTTTTATAAAGATATTTCCCATTTTCAGCATAAATTTTCAGAACTTTGCTATTAATCAAAAGATAAAATGATACAAAATATGAAAGTTTTGTTAAAATTGTGTAATTGTTTGTACCTGAACCAGACGGAGTTGAGAACACCAGTTTTGTTAAGGAGGATAACCCGGAGAGGACATCACACTCAGAGTCAGCAAGCGTGACAGACGTGGCATCAGGGTCAAATCCAGTTCCCGTTATAGTGACATGCTGACCACCGTAAGTTGGTCCTGTGGATAAAAAATTACAATAAAAATATTTTTACCAATACAGTATAACCAATAAGAAAATAGCAATTATAACTAGAAACTTGTTTTTGTGAACAAAACATTATGTCTCCCCTTATAAGCCAAAAGACAAACTTCGGTATAAAAAATAACAAAGGGCTGTATCTCTTTATATAGTGGGGCACGAGACCCGAATTAATAATGCAACACTCCTACTTCCCAAGATACGTTAAAACTTTAGCAAGTTTGGTCAACGAGGGTGATAAAACATGGAAGTTATGCCGTGGACAAACTTCGGTATCAAAAATAAAATAAAGGGCCATAACTCTATATATAGTGGGGCACGAGACCCGATTTCAGTGCAAGAGATTCCACCTTCCCAAGATACATCAATATGGTAAGTTTGGTCAACGTGGATGAAATAACATGGAACTTAAGCTCCAGACAAACTTTGGTATTAAAAATAAACAAAGGACAATAACTGTATAGAGTGGGTCACGAGACCTAGTTCTAGTGAACATGCACTGTACACTATCTGTGGGTGATGCAGGTTTACTTCAAATTTGATCAAGATATCTTTAACAGTTCAAAATTCACAGGCTGGACAAGAATTTACTGAAAATTATGCACTTATTTGACCTTTGACCTTGAGGTGAAGGTCACAGTGACTTAATTTCAGTGAACTGCACACCTTCTGTGGGTGATGCATGCATACCTCAAGTTCATTCGAAGAGGAAACATAATTAATTAATATTACTAATGTGCAATGTTACAAAACGTTTTCTTTCAGGACCAAAGTGCTTTCTCTTCTGATTTCCTGCTATTCTTCTGTATTATAATTCTTTTTGAGAAACATTTTAATTATTCCAGACCTATAATTCATCTTGGCAATATTTCTGTGTGCCAATTAGGTATAAACTAATTTGGCTAAAAAGTAAAACTCTGAATACATGTTTTGATCAAATATATCACAAAATACCAGTTCTGAGGGGCATACACACCCAGAAAGCAGACAATTGATAGAATGTATTTCTGTTTGAAATCAGCTTGTGCTGGTGGTTGTGTGATGTGGTGTATTATTTGAATACATTCATTGACTGGTAGATGGATATATAATAAAATATTAATATAATGTGTAATCAATAAACAGAATCTGCTTAATTTCTACTCACCAGTTTTTGGATCGAGGGGTGTGTGAACATTCAACTGATACGTAAACTTGTTTTCATCCCCCTCAGGTGCTGATCTTCCATATCCTGGTACCATGACAACCACATCAGTTACTCCAGCAGCACGGTCCCCAAGCTTGCACGTGATCAGCTCCGAAGTTTCTGTCTGAACTGTACAGAGGGAGCCACCGACATAGACATGTCGAGACGCCACATCAAAGAACTGTCCGTCTATACTCATCTCCGTCCCTGTGGTGCCCTCGGCTGGAACCACACCACTCACAACAGCAGTTTTTTCTGCAGAATAATCAAAGTGAACTGTGGACCCTGTCACAGGTGTTGACCCCAGTGTGACCTCTATGGGTTGTACACCAGCACCCTCTGCTGGCGGTAATTCACAAATGAGTTGACAGGTGGACACGGTTCCAGGCACTGGGCAGTCTTCGCCACCCACGGTTACCGTCGTTGCATCTTCATAGAACGCATTGCCAGTGATAGTGAGTTTAACTCCTCCATAGATACTACCTGATGGCGGTGACACGGCTCCAACTGCTGGTCGACCTTGGATTTGGAACGGGGTATCACTCTGGGCAGATCCAACAGATTCAATGTTTACCTCGACGAGATGAAGTTCCGCGGATAGACACGCAATCTCACAGGTAACCAAATTGTCCTTTACTGATTTTACAACACACTTCTCCTGTCCAATAGTTACACTAACCTTCTCAATTTCCGTACCAAATCCGTAACCACCTAAGTATATTGTTGTTAAACCGAATACCTCTCTAGGGGAAACAGATGTTAATTTCACCACTAGCAAGTATCGAAAAGCTAACTGTGGGGAGAGAACTCCACCTGGACTGTTGGGGTGGAAAAACTGTATGACACGACGAGTATCTCCTTTACTGTTTGTTGACACTGACATTCGAGGCGTTTTACATTTCACTTCCGTGAAAGATTCTTCCAAAACCTCACATTCTGCCCCTCCAACAATGGGGGTGCCCCCATTTAGCCCCATGCCAGTGATCACAAGTGTGGTTCCTCCAGCAGCAGAGCCTTGCTCAGGACTGGAACCAATAACTCGAGATCGGAAGCTGAAGTATGGGTTTGGCATTACCAGGATACCATATCCAAGTTCTGTTGTTCTTACAGTTATAGGAACGCTCTGGCCAACCTACAAAAAAGAACAAATTGTAAGAGCTGACACCTATACATGTAGGTTCAACTTTAGGACCACTTTTCATCCTACAGTGGCACCTATATGTGAATATTCAGTCCATGTTATATGATAGGGTAGTAAATTTATAGTCCAAGATTCAACACATTAATAGTTTTTGAAAATTTTAATCTGTTTCTACTGATCAGACTGATGTATAAAAGTATTAGCAAATATTCACAAAAATATTTACTGTAAATATACAGATTTTTTTTTTAATTTCATTTTCATCAGGTTATGAGGTGATAAATCCACCTGGGCATTGTTAAATTGAACAGATGGGGTATCAAGGCATATATGATAAACTTCTACTCAACTTAAGCTATCTCCTTATATCCTGACAAATTTTTAAAAAAAATCCTTCAATAACCCTCAATAATATTTCCTCTGCAATTTTGATGTGAGAGTATAATACAAACAATGGAAGCAATCTTATTAATTTGTAAGATAAAATATAATCACCACCATATCAGTTCCTGGGTCAATCCGACAAATAACCCCATCATTGATTAAACTGTGAACCCTGCACATCTTCGGTCCCATGGAGATTTCAGTGTGACATATCTGGTTGCCAGGCAACAAAGTCTTGATAGTGATGTCATCTTTGTCGGTTGCCACGGTGGGTGAGATTGAGGTTACGACAGCTCCAAGACATGGGAGGAAAGAGAAGTAGAACAAGTCTGTTGACGGAGGATCGGGGGCAGTACAATCAGGGACAGATAACTCACAATCTCCGGGATCAATCGTCAAACCTGTACGACAAAACAAACACAGCCATCGGTCAATATGTAATCTAAATATATTATTATCTCATACAGCTTTAGACAAGATTTTTTTGTTTACGAAATATTGAAGTTGTTTCGCGAGACACACACAATTAAAAGTTACGAACTTGATGTCCCCTGTAACAGTCAATTTTGCGGAAGGAAAAACCCCAGCATAACAGCCTCGTGTTTTAATATTTAAATAGAAAATTCAATTTATTTCATCTGAATGTACAATATCATTGATTGGTATGTGAGGTGTTCAATGTTCAAATTAGTTTTACCATAAATCAGTCTCCGTGATACTTCAAACAGTCTCAGATTTCAAATTGTCAAAGACTTCATTTCAAATGTAGATAAAATATAAATATTTCTTGGAAATGAGTCTGTAAGTTTCTATACTTACAATACGATTTTTGCACACCTATATATATAAATAGGATTAACATGGACCTGAATTTTCTTATTGAACTGTATATGCATGTTAGTGTCTAAATAAATCATATATTCTTCAATAATCCTGAGAGGAACTGTTTTACAATGTTTTCACCCAAGCTTGTCTATATCAGCTGGTAAATTTTTAAATTTACCTAAATTTACCTCATTTACTCCTGGTTTTACCTGAATCCACGACGTGCAATGCCGTGTGTTTAACAGTGTCTCCAATAGTTACACTAATAGCTTCACTTCTCTTTGTCTTCTCCGTCACCGTGTATTGCGCTCGAAATAAAATTCTTGCGGGATCAGCTTTCCCTTGATCAAGGAAACGGCTCCAGAAGTAGTGTACTTTTGCCTCACTTAGGTCTTTTCTGTGTGACCCTGTGACAAACAAACAATTAATGTAAATGGGAATCGTTGCTACGATGTATTTATAATATGGGACAATCGCTGGATATGATGGTCTATATAATGGCATGCATTACTTTTTTGCCCTAATAGATTAATAGTTACACCTCACGATACAATGAATGTAGCTTCCTTAAGTGTTTCATGGTATGTAATTGCTCATAATTAAGGATTGAAAAGCAGTTTTTCAATTTTCCTGCCGATATGAATGCGAATCAATTACATATATATTAACCATGAAGTTGTATCGGCATGAACACTGAAACAAGGCTGTTCAATCCTCATATTTACATTCTCTTATAATGTTCAGGTATAATTGACCTAAATACAGATATTCCCTTATATTTTTAATATTAAAGTGTCTGTGTCGTCAGTGCAAACAAGATTCCTGGAACAGCCTGACATCACCAAAATGTTTGCTTCTAATGGTTGTCTCATAACTATTCAAGGCGGAAGGAGAAGCTTCAAAATGACGCTGACCAAATTTGGAACTAAATATAAAATGTTTTAAGCTCATAAACACTTTATTTTCCCAAGTAGGAAAAAGTGTTTTCCTGATATCTCAGACCTCTTTCTGTTTTGATTAACTAACTCATTGTGTTTTAAGAAATATCATTTTTATAGAAACATAAGTGTGTGCATGGCATTCTATGTTAATAATTACAATAACAGATATAACGACCCTGCTATCATTAACTAGCTGAGTACCTACATAACAGATATAACGATCCTGCTATCATTAACTAGCTGAGTACCTATATGAACAGGATCACCACTGTTAATTCCGTTTATCAGTTCCTCCGTTCCAGTGGCATTTATCAGCTCGTAAACACCCATCTTAAATTCATCCTGAGGAGCTTTGAACGACCACTGGATTGTATCGCCGACCTCGTACTGTCCATTCCGAGGGTGCCAGTTATACCCCGTACCTAACCCTGAAACACATAATCATTCACCATACAGTAAAACCTCCATATCACTCACATTTAGCTATGAACACAGCTATTTGACTGTACAGTCTATATGTCAATTAAATTTGTCGAAACGAACAGTCTCCAAAGGGAATATAATTTTCAACAAATGCCATAGAATATCACTCTTTGTGTCAGTAGCACTGGTGTTTTTGTTGGTGACGTTTTGTGGGTGTTTTGACTTTTTGTCATCAATAGCACTAGTGTTTTTGTTGGTAACGTTTTGTGGGTGGCTTGACTTTATGTCATCAATAGCAGTAATGATTTTGTTGGTGACGTTTTGTGGGTGGTTTGACTTTTTGTCATCAATAGCACTAGTGTTTTTGTTGGTGACGTTTTGTGGGTGGTTCGACTTTTTGTCATCAGTAGCACTGGTGTTTTTGTTGGTGACGTTTTGTGGGTGGTTTTACTCTTTGTCATCAGTAGCACTGGTGTTTTTGTTGGTGACATTTTGTGGGTGGTTTTACTCTTTGTCATCAGTAGCACTAGTGTTTTTGTTGGTGACGTTTTGTGGGTGGTTCGACTCTTTGTCATCAGTAGCACTAGTGTTTTTGCAGTTGACATTGATTGTTTTAATTGTTAACTACTACGACTGTGTATTACTCACTGGCACTGGTGCCGTTGTTGCTGATGGTGTGTATCTTCCCTGTTCTGGCCACCTGGCACACAAACTCTGTGGAACTAAAGGTCACAGGGTCAATCACACAGACATGGCTACCAACTGTTGTGGTGAGCTTAGAGTGGTCGTCTCCAAACCCTACTCCTTTAAAAGTCACCCTGGTGCCCCCGTAAGCGGACCCCATGAGTGGATGCACTGCTTTAATAGCAAACTGGTATTCAATCTGAAGATTATTCCTGTTGAAGATAAAAAAAACAATAATGAAAATGAAAACAAAATTATAAAATCATCATAATATCAAAAACCACAAATTCATAAAAAAAACCACCACAAAGTCCTTAATACTGTTTAGTTGTTATTTTTTTAACAGGGGATTTAATTTTGCTATTCTCTGAGACAGTCACCATCATGCTCATACTAAGATGTGTCTAAATTGGAATAAATTTCTCTATTTTACTTTAAGAATGTATGCCCTAAAGAAAGAAAATATTACCAGACATGAAAGACAAAATACCATAGATTCAGTATTCATATATAATTATACCTTACATGTAGCTGTTGCTACACACAAAAGACACAAAAGGCTTGATTAAACCAAAGCATTTTGAAATGGATACAATTCATTCATGATGGAAGGATATATATTAGAGTAGCCAAAGATTTCAATTCACGTTATCAGAATTAAAACAAAATAATCTGTATACAAAGAAATTTTCGACGCAGTTTAACTTTTGCCTCAATTTAGGAAAAATTTTCGCCACGGTGAATATATGCACACAACTTATGAAATAGTAATAATATGTAAAGTGCAAACAATTTTTTTTTACCAGTGAAGGGTGAAAATAACAGATTTTACTGGTGAAGAGCGAAATTAACAGATTATACCGTTGAAGGGCGAAAATAACAGATTTTACCAGTGAAGGGCGAAAAATAACAGATTAAATTATACTGATGAAAGACAAAAAATAATAGATTTTACCGGTAAAGAGCAGAAGTTTCCCGGTATACAGTATGAATGTTGTATATTATTATTATCATACAGTACTTACTCGTTCAAGGCATAACCATGTTGACATTGGATCCGGATGTTGTAAACACCTGGCCGAGTGCTAGGTAGCACGGCTGTAGCTTCTGTGTCACTGACCACGTCAACATCAGCTGATACCATAGTGTCAGTTTCACCATGGGTACCTGGCTTGACCAGAAGCAGCTTTGTGCAAGCATTCTCAAATCCACTTCCAGTAAAACTGACAGTTTCTCCCCCTACAAATCAAAACATGATAAACTTCTGTTACTTAACTGTAAATCTTTCACATACACATGTACAGGTGTGAAAAAGTAGTCTATCTCATAACCAGCATTCAGAAATCAAGAAAACAGGAATGCTCCCCTGCCCCCGAAGTTGGTAAACTGATGACAATGAACCTGTTGATAAAATAACAGTGGTTGATCTATAAATAGCAACAGTGACCTTGACATTGACCTTGGGACCCTAAAAAAACCTAATGCATTTGAGATATTCTCATATTGATTTTTGTATACAAAATCTGATAGATATCTATAAATAAATGAACTTAGTAGAGCAGTGACAATGTATTGTGATACAATGTGATATGATGTGAGGTGAAAGGATGGGATCAACAAATTGGTAACACGTTATGCCCCATCCCCCTCGTTTCTTTTTTTTAAGGGGGGGAGGAGGGGGGGCACAATTTTTTTTATCTGACAGATTCCTGCTTTTACTGAAACACATGACAAATTATTTGTAATGTAAACCATGAAGTCATGTTATTGCCTTCATTAGGAAGTCAATATACATCAATGCCACATGAAATGCCACGAATGATATGTTCTCATTTTTAAATCATAGTATTACTGTTTCCTTCATTCCTGATATTTCTATCTGCAACACACAAAGAAAACACGTCACTATAACTAACCTAAAATGGACGGATTTGGAGATGACATCGTTCTGGCCCTGACAACTGGTGTCACTGTTGTACTTGAGTCGTAGGTAAACTTTGGAAAGTTATCAAATATTCTCCCACCAATCGTAACAGAGACAAACTTGTCACCAGCAATCTGTTTTCAACAAAAAGAATTGTCACGATCTTAGTTATAGCATCACAAGCTAGGAAAATGTATATATAAAATCTTAAGTTTATTTTTCAATTTTCTTCCTAAATAATTTGTTTCACTCAATATTTTAGTCAGAATCCATATAAAGAGCCCATGTTTACTGGATAGCAGCATAGTGAGATTAAAGAATGATATAATAGACCTTTTAAGGATTCCTGTCCAATTGGACTGTGGGTTTTTTCCTATATACAGTAATCTCCCCTGATCTTTCACTTTGATATAACTGTAGCACACGATGACAGTTGGGCCAGGACACTTCTGTCGACCGGGTACATTGTAGCTCAATCGGTTAGAGCGATAGTATATCAATCTGAAGGGCATTGTTCGAATCCCAGTCTAGCCATGCAGTACGTATTTTTACACTCGGAGTACTGTTGTTGATTAAGTTTATTTCTTTAAAAAAATTCATAAAAGTCCCACAAGGTATGGTTTCTTTATGATGATTTATCAAAGCTACAGTCTCAGATTCCAGTAAATAGTTCCAGATTTCAGCAGGGGTGCAGGGATCCTTTACTAATGAAATGGATTTAAAATAAAAATCTGACATAGAGATTATGGATGCTGACACTAACCTGAGCAGGCGTCTGACAGGAGAACCGAGAAGTAGCAACAGGTAGTACTACTGTACAGCTTTGGGATCCAATCCTAACGGACACATCCGAGGGAATACCATGTCCCGTAAAGGTCAGGAGTGTCCCACCTGGAAAAACATGTCATGTTGATCTTAATTTTCAATAATACACTCGAACAGAGTCAAACATTGTATAGTAAAACCTGCTCACTTTTGATTGTTTGGGGTTTTATGTCCTTGAAACAGCAAAAGGCATACAAGCCAACTCTCCCTATTTTGGAGGGAGAATACCAATTTTGGACCCTAAAACTGATCATTTTCAACCAGTTTGCTAAACTATTTCTATTTTCTAAGATCTGATGATTTCATCTGAAAGAACAGCTCAAAAGATGCCATTTAAAAGACTTATATTTCCCCTAGGGGTTATATACACAACTTTTATTTTTTAAGTTTTTAATTCTGAGCCTGCATTATCTCCCCTTTTATTTTTTAAGTTTTTAATTCTGAGCCTGCATAATCTCCCCTATGGAAATTTAAAAATTGGCAAGTATGTGCATGTATGGAAACAGGGAAATAGGTTAAACACCCTATATTCTGAGCTAAACATTCCTCTATTATATAAGAGATTACCTGTGTTATGAGACCATCTCAAAATTTAATTTCCCCCTCATATTTTTTTTAATGTTATGACCTGTATTAATTAAGAGACCACTTTGCAATAACAGACCAGTCTATGGAATTCCCAAATAATGTGTCTATAATACTAGATTGACTGTACTATAGAATATCATGTAGATAAAGAAAATGCTACCCTCTACTCACCTACCTTCAAAATGTGAAAGAATCATCTAGATATATAAAATTCTATCTAAAGCCATTTTAAACTTACCCGTTGATCTTCCCTTTTGACGACAGATACCTACCTACAGCGTCCGTCTTCCCTGAACTTTTCACCAAATTTGGTGTGAAGTATCATTGGCCAAATGCTTCTCAATTTGTATAAACTGAGGACATCCGCCCCCCCCCCCCCTCCGAAATAGTGGAAAATGTTTCTCCTTATTTATAATTGTAGGGATTTAAACCAAATGTGGTCTGGAACGTCCTTAGGGTAAAAAAGATTCAATTTTGTATAACCTGATGCTTTGGGGCACATCAGTGGAGCCCAATAGGGAAAATAGAGGAAAAAATTAAAAATCTTTCTCCTTTTTTACCAATGAAGCAATTTGATCCAAACTTGTTTTAGAGAATCTTTGGGAAAAGGGGATTCAATTTTGTATAAATGGAAAATGTGGCCCCACTGGGGGCAGACAGACACGGGGAAATAAAGGAAAATATTCAAAAATCTTCTCCTTTTGTACTGATGAAAGGATTTGAACCTAACTTGTTCTAGAGCATCTTTGGGTGAAGAGGATTCAAGTTTTTATAAACAGAGTATGTGGCCATGAATCTTGGGGGCAGCGGGGCAGGGCCCATTAGGCGAAATAGAGATGAATCTTTTAAAAGCTTCTGAGTGAATAAAGGAATTATCTCCAAATTTGTTGTAGATCAAATGTAGGCAATGGTGACTAAATTTTGTATAAATGAAGGGTGCAGGGCCCAATATTGTAAATAGAGGGAACTATTTTAAAATCGTTTTTTCTTCGACACAAATGGAAAGATTTTAGCCAATCCTTATCAAGAGAACCTGCAGGCAAAGACAACTAAATGGAGGATGTGCCCCCCCCCCCCCCACTCTCTTGGGGAAAAGGGTGGGGACAATAAGGGAAATAGAGTTTAATTGTTTTACTAATACCTGCTATACTGCCCTTTACTGGCGTATAACTGTCCACACCTGACGTGTACGTGAACTGTGAGGCCGTGGTAATTTTTACTTACCTGCTATACTGCCCTTTACTGGTGTATAACTGTCCACACCTGACGTGTACATGAACTTTGAGGCTGTGGTTGTTGTGGTCTCGCCTTTACTGGGTACTCTAACAGTCACATTGACTGACCCAGTCGGCCCGTTACCAAGGGAACAGACAAGCTGTGTCTCGTCGCAGGACGATGGTGCTGTACAGTCCAGTGGACAGTCCAGATCCCCAACAGTCACTCTGTTGTCTTCCATGTTCCCACTGAAGAGGGAGCCTGTGATGGTCAGCTGATCACCAACACTACCTGAAATACCATGTTTTGTGAGTATTTTCAGATCCTTCCTGAGAACTTTATGGATGATCTATGAATATTTTTTACAGCCTTTCTAAATACCAGCTTTGAAAACAAAACCTTGACATAGCTTTCATATTATATGTTAGTTTCATCAAGTCACTGCTATTTAAAAATGATGTTCTTGCACCCAGACAGTTTCGCTGACATTCAGCCAGCTTGGGAGTTACTTCCCCTTAAGCTTGTTCACCACAATGAAGCGTCTGGGTGAGAACATCATTCTTACATAGCAGTGACTTGATGAAACTTACATATATACCTAATATTCCTACTAAATGAACCTTTTCAGTGACAGCTTTCATAACTTTCGTAAAAACTCCAGGTGTGCTAGTTTGAATTGTAAAAGAAGGATTCAACTGTTTAAGACTACATATTCGTTGTGTGAGACTTCTTTGGATTATCTATAATATTGCCGCCTTTTAGGATTATTTTAACATTGTAAAACAGGATCAAACCTTGTAAAGGAGAAAATGAGGTGATGGTTGGGGTGTCAATGTCTGTCCACTCAAACTGACAGTGTCCACTACAGGCTGAGGGTATGGAGTTCACCGTCACAGACACCTACAACACACAAATATCAACAACTACTGTATACGGACGGCGAAAAAGTCGGAAATTAAACTGCAGAAACAATTTCCTGGTACACAGTATCAAATATGCTTTATATGTCAGCATGTTCTGGCACAAAAGTTACATTCATTCAGCCTTCAACTCTCATTCTTTTAATTTTAAATCTAAAACGTTTTGTTTCTTGCTGACTGGGGTGGAGGCTGACTCACTCTTAATCGTAGATTTTATTGCTTTACGGTCATCAACGACAAAGCACATTAATGGCGATGACATTGTCACCACGTAATCTCATTCATCAATATCAAAGTTTTACCTTTTTGCACAAACAATGTACGCATTAAACATGTCGCACCTTTTAAAGACCAACTGGTCTCTTTGTCAGGCCACGACTGAGTGAGCGATTTGTATTTTACCTGCACAGCGATGTGATGAAATTGTGTATTTTTTTTATTTCACTCGACCCGGGACATTTCACACATCATTAGGGAGGGTATACACATGCATCATATATTACCAAGGTTCATATTTCCATACTGATGAATCTTATTAAAGAACCCATACATGTTATGACTAACGGAAAATGTGGTTGCTTGAGAAAGGGAAATTACAGTACCTTTTACACTCAATGCCATTATTTAGCGGTTGCTTGTCTGGTTAGAGAAGGGAAAATTTATCATTGAAAATACCTTGATGCAAAACATAAACTGTCTCAAACAGGGAGTGGGTCATTCATAGTCGCAAAGTAGAGGGAAAATGTACACACAATAAAATTCCTCAAATACTAGCTGTAGCACATCTTAATTAATAACTAAAAGCACTTTAAATGTTTACATTTATGATACACTAAAGGTTTGTTTACAAATGAAATTTAGATTCTACGACTAAACTCTAGTTTGTGTGCGGTGTGTTACCTGTGGTTTGGTATGAGGCGTCCTTATTTGATCCGGAGTACAAGGATCATATTCCGTCCTCCCGGTACGTTGCCGTTTCACTTCCGACTCAAATGGTCCCCCGATTGGATCCGTCTCCACCACCTATACAGAAGGAACCAATAAAAACTAAAAGAAACTAGAAACAAGTGCTGATTGTAAACGAGCCATTACAAGGTCCCCAAAGCTAACCCTGCAGTGACTATCACAAATCCTGCTGATTGAAGTTGTAGCACTACCCCTACTTCAAATCTCCATATTTTATGCAGAACTCCACATTTTCCCATATTTTTTCCATGTGGAAAATGATTCTGCCTTCTTTTTGATACAGAGAATATATATGGAAACAAGAGTACCGCGGGGCGGAACAAAATACGCCCATCGAATGCCATAAAGTGTTATATACTTTCTTACATTGAAATGAGATCTGCATCATTCTAAGAGTGGTTAGCTGATATGCTATAAAAATGTAGGAGAAAATCTTCAGACAAAAAATCAAATACTGAAATGAACAAAGGCAATAAAATTTGCAAAAATCGTCGAATCAAAATTCTTTTAAGGGAGACACAACTTCATATCATGATTATAATGTATACCAAGTTTCAAAGAGATCGGTCAAAAAATGTAGGAGATGATTGCCGGACAAAAATCAAATACTGAAATGAACAAAGGGCAATAACTTTTGGAAAAATTGTCGAATCAAATTCTTTTAAGGGAGACACACCTTCATATCATGATTATCATGTATACCAAGTTTCATAGATATCGGTCGAAAAATGTAGGAGGAGATTGCCGGACAAAATTTGAATACTGAAATGAACAAAGGGCAATAACTTTTGGAAAAATTGTCGAATCAAATTCTTTTAAGGGAGACACACCTTCATATCATGATTATCATGTATACCAAGTTTCATAGATATCGGTCGAAAAATGTAGGAGGAGATTGCCGGACAAAATTTGAATACTGAAATGAACAAAGGGCAATAACTTTTGGAAAAATTGTTGAATCAAAATCCTTTTAAGGGAGACACAACTTCATATCATGATTATAATGTATACTAAGTTTCAAATAGATCAGTCGAAAAATGTCGGAGGAGATTACCGGACAAACAAAGTTTACGCCGGACGGACGGACAACGCCATACCATAATACTACCGTCAAATTTGACGGTCGTGGAGAAAACATGGAGAAAAAGCAGAAAAACTGACTTTGAAGATATTTAATATGGAGAATTTGGACTTTTAAATAAGCCAAATTCACAAAATCAAAATACAGATTTTTCTGATGCCGAGAAAGATGCAGAAAAATATGGAAAACTGATGATTAATAAACTTTGGTCCATCTAGAATTCTGGTCTATGATTGGTCAATTTTCACATTCAAATTCTGAAATCAACTAGGTCACTTAGTTTGTGTGAAAGGATGAAGGTCGGAGTGACCTGGTGTTATCGGCATCATTAAACAATAACCTACCAAAGCTCAAACTTGATTAATATCTAGACAAACACTCTAACATCACTGAGCTGCTTCACGAAGAGAGACTCAGACAGAGACCAGATCTGACTGATAGTCTTCATCAAGCATATAGGACCTATATAGGAAAATTTACCCTTGGTGTAAAATTTCTGTGTCATAAGTAAGACTTGTAAAGATGCGAAAGAAAATAAAAAACATGTAAAAAAAAATTAAAAAAAAGATGCGAGCCAAAATTATGTATACATACATCTCCCATATCTATGTACATAAAAGTTGTCTATTTCTACTTCACATGTACTCACATGCCCCTATATATAATGAGAACACCTTGTCAACACAGAGGTTGAGAAACATATATATCTATAGTTTTCTCTTACCTCTAACAGTTCCTGTTTTCCCAGCTTTGTGACAAATTTATAAGTCCAGGTGAAGTCAGCACAGTGTCCGTGTTTGACCACCTCCAGTAAACCCATGGCCTCCAGGTCAATGTTCTCCAGGTGTTCCGTCACTCTGTACTCATCCATATCCCAGCTTACAGGCACCTCTGTAACGAACAAAAAACATACTGTCACAAAAACTAGGTACATTATACAGCACCTCTGTCACAAAAACCACAACATACAAAACCTCCGTCACTTACAGTCACAACATAATGTACTTTTTTCACAACTTAAGTCACATCATACATTTACATCTGTCACACAAAGTCATGTGAATGAAAATACAATGGGAGATACCAAATGTTGGCANGGCCCCCCCCCCCCCCCCCCCCCACACTCTCTGTAGCCTAACTGACCTTTTTTGGCCCTGACATGCTTATAATTCTACAGCTTCTTTGGGGTTTTGCCCTAGGACTCCCCACTAGACCTTCACCCCTATACCCCAGTTTCAATCTTTCCCCCAAGCCACTGAGGGCCAGACTATGGCCACACACATGTGTTGATTTTTGGAATAGTTTGAATTTGGTCCAAATTCACATTCCGTGGTCCACTTTCACAAGAAGTCAAGAGAAGGAGATGGAGGTAGATCGGACCTGTCTCCAGAGCACACCCAGACTCCATCCCTAGGGTAGCAATGAGATGGAGGTAGATTGGACATGTCTCCAGAGCACACCCAGACTCCCTCCCTAGGGTAGCAATGAGATGGAGGTAGATTGGACATGTCTCCAGAGCACACCCAGACTCCCTCCCTAGGGTAGCAATGAGATGGAGGTAGATTGGACATCTCCAGAGGACACCCAGACTCCATCCCTAGGGTAGCAATGAGATGGAGGTAGATTGAACCTGTCTCCGGAGCACACCCAGACTCCATCCCTAGGGTAGCAATGAGATGGAGGTAGATCGGACCTGTCTCCGGAGCACACCCAGATTCCATCCCTAGGGTAGCAATGAGATGGAGGTAGATCGGACCTGTCTCCGGAGCACACCCAGATTCCATCCCTAGGGTATCAATGAGATGGAGGTAGATCGGACCTGTCTCCAGAGCACACCCAGATTCCATCTCTAGGGTAGCAATGAGATGGAGGTTGATCGGACATGTCTCCAGAGCACACCCAGATTCCATCCCTAGGGTAGCAAGGAGATGGACACCACCAGGAAAAAGGAAGAGAGGAAGACCAAAGGAAACCTGGAGACGGTCTGTTGACAAAGAACTAAAACAGAAAGACTGGACATGGGGACAAATACACCGGTGATCCCAAGACAGACATAAGTGGAAATCTCTGGTGATGGACTTATGTGTGCAACCCAGCAGGAAGAGGACTAACTACATAGGATAAAAGATGTGTTCACTGTATCTGAAATTCTTGGTAACTCACATATAATCTTGCATTGGATGAGTGACATCATGCTGGGTGATATGTGGAATCTGTTAGCAATCCAATACTTTTTATCAATGAAATATTCATGAAATCGTAAATGTTCCTGGTATTGACTTTTTATAGTATTTTATGGGAGTTCATTATTAATTTATTATGATGTCTACTCTGAAGCCCAAATTTTAGTATTGTCACCATATCAACTTGGAGTACAAGTGTTTGTGTGTCTGTTGACAATGTCTTTTATATTTCATGGACCATGTATAAAACATGTCTGTACATGGGTATAGGAAATCATACGTGCTTCATTCTATCTATTTATTAGGGCAGGAGCTTCGCCACTCCCTGTAACCAGTAACACACATAAATAAACATGACTGAATACATGACAATACAAACAAAGATATAATTGACCTACAACATCAATTTTCGCCTTTTTACCCTTCATAATGAGACCGAAGCTATCATTACAGCTAATATAAGTAAACAGCATGATAAACATAGTAAGTGAATGTAAAGGACGAAATTAACACTGGGCGAAAATGTATTTCATGGGCGAACGGCAAAAGTTTGACTGGGCAAAAATGTCCTGTTGTACAGTTGGTAGGAGCCACTGACACTTCATACTCACTTTTCTTTTTACCATTTGCTTTCAAGGTGGTTGTTCCACCAATGGGGTGAGTCGCCGCTTGGAATCTTTTCACTGTCACCCTTACATTGTTTCCTGACTTTGATGTCACTTCAAAAACGTTCTTTGAAATCTGAAAAAAAAATGCCCGAAATCTTGGACATAGATCTCGAGTGATCGTTGCTATTTATTTTGTTATGTACCCTGTGGGAACTTTCTGATAGACACACATCATATTTATTTGAACTGTGTCTTAATGTCTCATTAATGTATATTTACTTTTCATGAGAGTTGATTTTTGCCCACAAAAAAATGTGGTTACATCCAAAATGCTGGCAGCATTTTTAGTTAAAATGATAAAAAAATCCTTTAAATTGCTTTCCTCTCATAATTAGCTTGATCAACTGTCTGAAATCACATTTTAATCAACATTTTCTAAAGGTTAATTATGATAACTTTTTAATTAGTTCTATTTAGATTGTGTAAAAGCTACACGCTATGATTTCCTGGTCGATGTGTTTCTTACTTGTCGTCCCCCGTAAGGTTTTATCTGAGGAACGGTGTGTCCACAGTTGTACATCACCATGGAAACCTCAAAAGAGAACATTCCTGGGTTTTTGTTGGAGAGTGATTTTACATTAATGGACGAAATCATTTCTCCTGCAGGCATGGTAGGGCTAGTCCTCTGTTCCCATATCATATCTGCTCAAAATAAATACAATATCATATTTTCTGTCAGATAGAGACAGAATTCCATGTTTTCTTTTAAAGAGAAATAGAATAATGTACTTTTGTCCAAGAGGAATGGAATAACATTAGTCTTGGATTCCATAAAAAAAAGTAGAATTCACAATATCCTATTGACAAGAAACAGAAGGACACATACATTCTCTATGTCTGAGAGAAACAGAAGGACACATACATTCTCTATGTCTGAGAGAAACAGAAGGACACATACATTATGTATGTCTGAGAGAAACAGAATCTCCTTCTAGTCTGACATTATATTGTTAGGCTTTCTAGTACACCGACATTAGTACTGTTACAGTTCATTTTCAAGGCAGATAGTAGTACAAATACTCTGTGATTGATCAACATTTTACATCATACATTCTATCATATTGTGTAAACCACACATATTTTGCAATATGAATATTTTCAATAAACAAACTAAGTTGATTGCATTTGAATAATGGTAATCAGTGATCTAAATAATTATGTATTCAAAGTCAATCCAAGTTTGGATTATAATATTGAAATCCGCTTTTACATATTTTTTAACTTATTTTCTGTACATAAAGTGGAAGCTGGTTTTTCCTGTATTTCTTAATGCTATCATAATTTAACTCATTCACCTCTAAAAACACATTTGAACTTTTCCAATTCAAAGGTTGGAATAGCTCATTATGAAATTTCAGGGGTGAATGAGTTAAAATACCCTGAACTCTCACCTGGCGTATCAGTGGTGGTGAACTTTGACCCCAGGTTGACGACATCAATGTAGTAGTCATGGACTGGACTTGTAAATCTGATGGACATCAGACCAGCACTTGACCGTCTACAGACACTGGTCTCACCCAGAAGGTCCTTCAACTGGACACAGCGGTATGTCCAGCTGTCATTAAAAAGGACATTGTAGAGGACAAACTGACCACACATAACACATACTGGGGTCTATCAGGGTACTTTTTAGGTATGTTTAAAGGACCCATTCCCAATTGAAAAAGTGTGTAATTTTTCCCAGTTTGCCCCTATCAAATTCACAATATGGAATTCTAAACAAATATATGCACATATTTGAATAAATTCCTACCAATTGACTGAGTTCTGAAAATGAAGCATTATGTAGAAATGATCATGTTGTCATAAAGACAGGCTTAAATAAAAGTAAAACAATCTAATTTTATGTACTCAGATTTATTATAATGATATTTAAATTTCCCAAAATGGCTACTGTCAATGATTTCTTTTCCAATTTCATCACAGGGTCCTCCCCCCCCCCCCCCCCCCCCCCCCCCCACACACACACACACAAAAAAAACCCCAACAAACAGAAACACTGTGCATTGTACACACTTGTACTTGGCTTACTGCTGCGTCAACTTGTTATAAATATGGACAAATGATCTCCTATAGTTATGCAGGGCGTGTGTAATGATCATAACAGATGGGAAAGATAAATTGAGCAAAGCAGTTTCAGTCGGGATTCATGCACTTTCTCCCTCATTGGAAATGTCGAAGTAGGAGATCTCCGCCATTTGAGGTTTCAGGTGTTGACACCTATACATCATGGACTATAACTGACCACACTTTACACTTAATTCCACTTGTATTCCACTCAGTATTGTACATTACACTGATCTAATTTCCACACTTACTGTTTATCTTTGGTCGTCGTGAAGTCAATGTCGACCCTCTCAGTGACGTCAGTGTTACCGTCTACACATCGTAAGGACAGTTGATTTCCCACATCTCCTTGGTAGGCCAGACAAAGCTGCAGAAGAGACCACATGTTATACATACATCAGAGACATAGTAAAGTGAACAGTAAATATGACACATTTTCTCACGTACCGCCATACCCAGAATCTCACAATGGCAGTCATTTAAATGTCCTGTTGGCAATTGACAGAATACTGTCATCAGTTGTTACGGTAACCGTAAATTTTCGTTTTTGATACAAATATTATTTTTGTTTTTTTGTTTTTTGTAATGTGGCAGATTTCAATTGTACATATAGGATCAAGGTCACCTTCTAGCTTTGAGCTAGTGGGAATTTCCCTTTAACTCAGTGGTAGAGCGTCTGACTAGGAACCTGGAGAACGTGGGTTTGATCCCCAGTGGAAGCACACTATTCTCTTTCCTGTTACAGTAATTTCTTATTTTTCAAACATTTTCTAGGATATATGATATAGCACATGAATCATCTCGCTATTAATCATCATCATCGTCATCATCATCCAAACAATCTTTATCATCTTCATTATGACATCATCATCATCATAATTGTTATTAAATATTATAAACTAACAAGAGATTTATGTCTCCCCTTTTACAGTTTAAATGTTATGGTCCGGACTAGATATTCCTGAAATCTTTGTGCTTATTTGAACTTTGACCTCAAGATCAAGATCATAGTGACCTATCAATAGTGCACTGTACATCGTCTGAGGGTAATGCAGATATACTTCAAGTTTTGTCAGAATATATTTAACTTAGCACTTATTTCAACTTATTATTAGAGGAACTGCCTACTGCTAAATTATAAAATGCAAATATTGACAAGTTCTAATTGTAAAGGTGACCATCACAGATGTCCTCAAAACTGACCCCATAGTCGCAAATGGTGCTTGGAAAGAGTTTACAATGCCATCATATACTTGCATACTAAGTTTAAGCAAAATTAGACACAGTGAGGGACCGTTGGCATCACCTTGGGGTACACCTTGGGGTACACCTTTAAATGTTTGAAACAATCAGACTTTTTTTACGTCTGACCTTGAGGTGAAGGCCACAGTGACCTAATGACACAGCATTGCACATCTGTAGGTGAAAAAGTGCTGAGCTAGCCGTTTGTATTTGTAAATCTCTGTGTTCCTTATCCTTAGCATTCTCCATGTTATGTACATGCTTGAGTAGGGCTGGCCTCTGGGTGATTGACAGGTAGGGGGGATGGGGGGATATATGGGTATATAAGCTGGCCAAAATGGGTGTGCATGGCCACTCGACCAGTCTATGTCATAAGCTACACAAGAGCAGACCATTACTTGTTAGTTGTAAGTATACTAGAGAGCAACTGCTTTCAATGATGGAGTATGTCTGTATAAGACTGTTACCCATTACGATCGCTCAACCGAAAGTATCGTACCTTACAAAGGTGAGCTATAGGGTGTGTTTCAGGTCTGCTACATAGATAAACCAAAACAGCACTGTGAGAGCTCAATAGATTGCTATAGGGAGTTATAGGGATCCTCGAGTGGTCAGGATAACTCTAGTGGAGGTCAACAGATTGTACAGTATAGGTACAGGTAGTGGTGCTGAGTGATCAATGTAAAGAGCTATCACAGTGCCAATGGTCATAGTGATACATTGGTTGTACTCAGCTATCCGTAGCCAGCAGTGAGCTATCGCCAGTACAGGTAGTTTGGTCAAGACCTGTGTGTGTGTTGCTGTCGTGGGACAGTGATAGATCAGCAAGTGATCGGCCGCGTGTGTATATATACATCAGTTCTCAGCGATCAGTAGTAGTAGATCTGTTAGATTAATATAAGGTGTTTTATTGTTCTTTACATACCCGGGTAGTTATTTTGCATTTACTGTTACCTTGATACTTCTTTGTATATATTCCCTGAATATTGTTACTAGAACAAGACGTACATGATTGCAAGCAGTAATCGCTCTGACATAGGCAATGTCGCAGAGCTAGATTAACTTATCTGTTTATATTGGCATCTTTACTAGAATACTGATACACCCCAGTTGGGGTAGGTATACTCGGTGGAATCTCCAGTGTGACTGGTACGAACCATAGGGGCAATGTCACAACACGTAAGTTTCATCAAGATATCTTTAATGGCATAAAAGTTACAGCCCGGACAAGATGTTCCTGAAAAGTTTGCACATATTTGACCTTTGACCTTGGGGTCAAGGTCAAAATGAGCTGATACCAGTGCACTGCACATCGTCACTGGGCACAGTACGAAAAAAGTGTTTTTGGTTTTTTTAGTGACCAGGGCTTTAATCAAATGCTAAATCAGAAATCCTTTACACTTAAACAAGTTACCTTATTGTCCCCCAGTGGCCTGGCACGAGAGGCCGACTTGGAGTACAGGAACTTGGCGTTTTTGAGGCAGTATCGTCCACAGTACGGTTCTATGTTTCCAACTATTTCTCCTCCGAGGCTCAACAAACTTGGGTTGTTCTCAAAGTCTTCAGAATACGATGCAAAGATATTTTTTCTCAAGTAGCTCGGACATCTGGCCCCAATGCCTTTCTCTAGCTTGGCTTTAATCTGAAATGAAGAATAGCATTGAATCATAAACATGAATATTTTTTTATTGGAGAGATTAAATGGGTTACGCTGCATATATAGAAAGTCTCCAAAGGATAATGATTGATTTAAAATGTTCATATATCATATTATTCAGGCAATCTTAATTGAAAATAAGTTTGGATATAAAGAGAACATTTAATGATTGGATCAAAAATGCCATTGCAAGTATCAGTGAAGTTTTATAAAGTTTGGCTGAAAACTGTAGGAGTTGTCATGACAACATCTATACAATAAGAGTTCAAATGTTAACAGCTAACTACACAATTTTATTCAAAATAATCTAGTCTCTTTCTTTGCATCCACATTTCTGTAACCCTGTCATATTTTTTTGTTTTGCTTCCTCGCCAATTTTACACAAACTCTGAATGAAAGTATTGCAGACTGACTTCACCAAATTTCACGCATGGTTGACTGACTTTTAAGAACATATTTATATGCACCGTCTTCTGGAAGGAATTTACAAGGGTAACATAATAAGGTGACCTTTAACAAGAAAACTAACAGTTCTACAAGGATCCTTCCATGTGCCTGACCTTACTCACCTTTCATGGTCATTTTTAGTGACCTTGACCTTTTAAACCCCTTTTCACATCAACATATGTCACTGTATATCACCATGTCAAATTTTAAAAAGATTATGATTTTCTGGATTCCAAGATATGGACAGTACCCCATGGTATATTTGTAATATCAATGACTTGACCTTGACCTTAGAAACTTTTCAAACCCGTACTGCACATTTTCATTTTACAGTGTATCACCATGTCAAATTTCAAAACGATTAGTCTTTTGGAGTCTGAGATAATCTCTGGAAATAAAACTGTAGATGAACAGACAGACACAAAGATTGTCAGACGGACACCATGAATCTCTGCATGTCTTTTGAACTAAGAATCTTACGTCGTCTGCTGAAGGGGGCCCAGGGACCAGAACTGGGGTGATACTGTCTCCAATGATGAAGGCCAGAGTGTTTCGTCCAGGCTGCCCAGTGGTCACCTCCGTTATCCTGACAACTAGTGGGTCTATCACACTTACAGGTTCCAAATTTGGTAAATCACCTGTTAATGTAAAATGTATACTTCTCGTCAATGTTACAGCACTGTAATATAAGATATCCTACGTTTAAATTTGACTGGTCATATAGATAGAAATTTGCTTGCCTTCCTGAGATTTAACATCTGGGATTACCAGTAAAGTAAACCATCTTATTGACTGATTGTCTTAGTGAATTCCAAGCAAGATTATATTCTGTAAAATTAATTTTACTTTGACTCCACAATTTACATAGCAAGTCAATATTGCTCTGTTTCTCATGCATTAATGTTACATTAAAGAATTTAATCACATGATCAAGTTTATCACTTTAATTTTTTTCATAATTTCTCCATTATTTTAACTGCAGATTTCTATGTTTAGCTTTTCATATTCTTTAAACAGTTTTCTCTCACTTCAAGTTAATTTTGCTTCTAGGTGATATTATTTGGATTAAATGAGAAAAGAAATGATGAGCAACTAATTAATTAATTATTTGGATTAATCAAATGTTCGGAAGAGTTCAGGAAAAAAATATGACCTATAAAATATAATAAAAACAATATCATATTAAACTTTATTAGATGTTTCAAATATTACAATCTGTTCTCAAGAAAATGTCATCCGCTACTGTAAATAAATCCTTGCATGGACCTTAATGGAAATGAATGTAATGTAAACATAACTGTTTAACCTTGTGTGACCAAGTCTAAAGCAGAGTAATCTTTGTGTTTTAATTACTAAGAACAAGGTGACAGCATTACTGTCAAATTAACCAAATCTTTGCAGAACATATCTCCAAAACCACATGTTGCATTTCTTCCGGTCTATTTAATACATTCTGCGGAACCCGCAACAGAGCCGCAAAATCCGGAATGTTATAAAAATAGAACCAACAACAAAAACGGATTAAGGAAAATATCAAAGACCTTATAGTATCACATAAGGCCTCAAAGTAAACCTGGTTACACTTGGAATAATTCTAAACATAACCAGATTTTCCAGAGTAATTTAAGTGTTTATTGAATCTAGAATTGACAGTTACTCTGATCTGTAGATAGTAGAAATTGGAACTAAGTGTGTTTACTGATTTAAGAACTGAAGTTTACTCTGTAGACAGGAGAAGTTGGAACTAAGTGTGTTTACTGATTTTAGAATTGAAAGTCACTAACTCTGTAGTTAGGAGAATTCAGAACTACGTGTGTTTACTGATTTAAGAATTGAAGTTTACTCAGTAGACAGGAGAAGTTGGAACTAAGTGTGTTTACTGATTTTAGAACTGAAGTTTACTTTGAAGACAGGAGAAGTTGGAACTAAGTGTGTTTACTGATTTAAGAATTGAAGTTTACTCAGTAGCCAGGAGAAGTTGGAACTAAGTGTGTTTACTGATTTTCGAATTGAAAGTCACTAACTCTGTAGTTAGGAGAATTCAGAACTACGCGTGTTTACTGATTTAAGAATTGAAGTTTACTCAGTAGACAGGAGAAGTTGGAACTAAGTGTGTTTACTTATTTTAGAACTGAAAGTAACTCTGTAGACAGGACAAGTTGGAACTAAGTGTGTTTACTGATTTTAGAATTTAAAGTCACTAACTCTGTAGTTAGGAGAATTCAGAACTACGCGTGTTTACTGATTTAAGAATTGAAGTTTACTCAGTAGCCAGGAGAAGTTGGAACTAAGTGTGTTTACTGATTTAAGAATTGAAGTTTACTCAGTAGACAGGAGAAGTTGGAACTAAGTGTGTTTACTTATTTTAGAACTGAAAGTAACTCTGTAGACAGGAGAAGGTGGAACTAAGGGTGTTTACTGATTTTAGAACTGAAAGTAACTCTGTAGACAGGAGAACTCACAACTAAGTATATTTACCGATTTTAGAATTGAAGTTCACTCTGTAGGCAGGATAATTCGGTACCAAGGTAACCGTCACTTCCACAACATTGCCTTCCTCGTATAATGGAATGGTCTGGATGGCTTTCTGTACATCGTAAGCAGTTGCCATGGAATCTATAGCACCTAGAGAAAAAAATCAGAAAGTCTGTTTAGGGCTATTCCATAATAATATGGTGTATGGGGGAGGTGGGACGCACCTGCATTAAAACATTATGGGTGGTGTGGTTTAAACCAGATCTGCCTACCATTCCTGATATTAAATCACTTATAAGTCAGGCTGCAACGATATGCCTACCTCAGGATATGATATGGTTGCTTACGATATGTATCATATCACGATACAAATATCTGCTTAAAAGGTCACTCCATAATGACTGAGCTAGTGCAGGCTATTACCGAGTTTGGTGATGGCCAGGGTCTCTGACAAAATGCCTCCCACCCCTCCCATGCAGTTAATTATGGAACAGCTCCTACAGAAAATCAGCATCTTTGTTACATTACCCACGATTTCTTAAGGCACATCAACATATGACCAAGAGACTCAATCAGCATTAATTTTTTAAGTTTGTGGAAATTCCTTTTTAACAATAAGAAATTATCTATGTGTGTCACATTTCTACAAAAGGCATGAATTGTAAAAAGACACTCTGTCCTTTAAATACCTGTGACAGCTCCGAACATCTTGAGCCGATAAGTTCTGCCAGCTTGTGGGTTGTCAATTTTAATTTCCTGAACTTCTGCTGTGAAGGCATGGTCCGACTCCAACAGCTTTTCAATAGACAACACCTGAGGACAAAATAGTTTCTCTTTACAAGCACATAACACATGTTAATTAAAACAAAGCTTTTCATATCATAATTATCTTGATCCTCCCCAAATCCTTTTCTGGTAAAATCATTTTTAATACACTACATAATTGCAAACCCTCCCTATTTAGGAGGGAGACTCCTGATGTTGGACACTTAACATGTTTAACCTGTTAATTTCTTAAAATATTTCTATTTTTCTAAGATCTGATGATTTCAATTGAAAGAACTACTCAAAAGACACCATTTTAAAGAGTTATTTCCACCTTAGCTTGTACATACAAACATATTTAAGCTTATAATTCTAAGCACACACTAATCTCCCCAATGGAAATTTCAAAAATTTGGCAAGTTTGCCACTATCACATCTCATTCTCTTTTTTTTCTACTTCTTCTAGATACTAGTGTGCCCACAAGGCTGATGATTTTTCACTAAGCGTTGGTTAAAAGATAACACACATTTTTTTTAATTTTTTTTTTATAGATGATAAAAGATTAAAAACTGAGGTGAATTAAGAGTTGTGAGAGGTAGGAGACTGTGATGGTGGCTTTATCAGCATCAACAGTGTCCACTTAAACGTAAGATTGAGGGACCGTTTAGAACGGTTGTATTTTTGGTAGAAAAAATTACTATAGTTATGTTTATATCTACTATACATGATGTTATTAGAGAATAAGTGTTCCTCTGTTTAAGATGTTGACTTTTCCTGTTTAAGATGTTGACTTTACCTGTTTAAGATGTTGACTTTACCTGTTTAAGATGTTGACTTTACCTGTATAGGATGTTGACTTTACCTGTATAGGATGTTGACTTTACCTGTTTTAGATGTTGTCTTTACCTGTTTTACATGTTGTCTTTACCTGTTTAAGATGTTGACTTTACCTGTATAGAATGTTGACTTTACCTGTATAGGATGTTGACTTTACCTGTTTTAGATGTTGTCTTTACCTGTTTTAGATGTTGACTTTACCTGTATAGGATGTTGACTTTACCTGTTTTAGATGTTGACTTTACCTGTTTAAGATGTTGACTTTACCTGTATAGGATGTTGACTTTACCTGTATAGGATGTTGACTTTACCTGTTTTAGATGTTGTCTTTACCTGTTTTAGATGTTGACTTTACCTGTATAGGATGTTGACTTTACCTGTTTTAGATGTTGACTTTACCTGTTTAAGATGTTGACTTTACCTGTATAGGATGTTGACTTTACCTGTATAGGATGTTGACTTTACCTGTATAGGATGTTGACTTTACCTGTTTTAGATGTTGTCTTTACCTGTTTTAGATGTTGACTTTACCTGTATAGGATGTTGACTTTACCTGTTTTAGATGTTGACTTTACCTGTTTAAGATGTTGACTTTACCTGTATAGGATGTTGACTTTACCTGTATAGGATGTTGACTTTACCTGTATAGGATGTTGACTTTACCTGTTTTAGATGTTGTCTTTACCTGTTTTAGATGTTGACTTTACCTGTATAGGATGTTGACTTTACCTGTTTTAGATGTTGACTTTACCTGTTTAAGATGTTGACTTTACCTGTATAGGATGTTGACTTTACCTGTATAGGATGTTGACTTTACCTGTTTTAGATGTTGACTTTTCCAGTTTAAGATGTTGACTAAACCTGTTTAAGATGTTGACTTTACCTGTTTAAGATGTTGTTTATACCTGTTTTACATGTTGACTTTACCTG